CAATTATTATTATTATTATTATTATTATATTTATTTAATATATAATAATATTAATATAATAATAATAATAATAATTGTTATTATTATTATTATATTAATATTATTATATATTAAATAAATATAATAATAATAATATAATAATAAATATATCAATATAAATTAATTATTATTTGTATGTCGCCATAATTGATTTTAATCATTACTATTTCGTCGATCTCCATCTCCTCCTCCTCTTCCTGCTCCTCCTCAGAGTCATCAATGTTAATGACTTGCATATGTTCTGCTATTTCGTCGATCTCCATCTCCTCCTCCTCCTCAGAGTCATCAATATTAATGACTTCTATATGTGTTGCTATTTCGTCGATCTCCATCTCCTCCTCCTCCTCCTCCTCCTCCTCCTCGTCCTCCTGCTCAGAGTCATCAATGTTAATGACTTCTATATGTTCTGAAATCAAATATAAAATTAATTTAACGTTTTTCTATACAGAAAAATCGAAAATTTGATTACAAATTATAAAAAATGTTGTCTGCTTTCTCACCATTGGTCGACTGTACTCCTATTTCTTCCTTCTCTTCATCAGCCTCCATCTCCTCTTCCTCCTCCTGCTCCCTTTCCTCAATAGCTAAAATTGGATTAATTATTATTTTAAAAAATATAAAAACCTGGATTATACAATCTATTAAAAACTTACGTGGGGGGCTTTGTTGTAATAGAACTTCCTCCTCCTCCCCATATACGGGTCTTCTAAATTCATTGTTGTTCAACATTTTTTATTGTAGTTTTTCTCTCTCTCTCTCCCTTGTCGATGTGAACATGAACTGTTTGCTGGTGACTCCTGGGTGACTTTTATATTGTCCATCGCTATCTCTTTGTAACAAATATGTCTCGTTAGGAGAGAGTGGCAAATGTGCAAAATCAGCACAACCTAACGTAATAGTAACATCATATGTCGCACATGCAGTCAACCGCATTCTCACATTGATGTATCAGCACAAAAATATTGCATTGTGATGCTTAAGATTGCACTGAGAATTTCTCAATTTATTATTCAATCAGTCAATTAATGTGCGGACATGTAGATCAGATCCGACTCATTATACGGACACCGTTGACATCGCCGCATTTCATCGGTGTAAACTATAGATTCATCGTCCCAACTGATTTCATCTACTTTTGGCCACTGTAAACTGTGCATATGATAATCTAAAATCACATTTAAAAATGAGCGGACATGTAGATCAGATCCGACTCACTATACGAACACCGTTGACATCGCCGCATTTCATCGGTGTAAACTATAGATTCATCGCCCCAACTGATTTCATCTACTTTTGGCCACTGTAAACTGTCTCGATAGCACATACAAAGTTCGCGTTTATCGTGTCGCTCCATCATCAAAATTGGCATATCAGCATTCCACAAATCATCATATAAATGTATGTCATGAAACAACACTATATGTGTAAACTTGCCACTATCTGCCGGAATTTTTATATAGAAATTTTGAAGGTTAAAGTTCTTTAGCACTCTGATGTCTGGATGCATTATAAGCTCATTCAATTTAGTGTTTATTTCACATGCATTCTCAGTCGTGATCCTACGTGCGTCTTCCACTATCTGATTGGCGTACTCCTGCACTAAGTCATGGGGCCAACTTTTTATAGAGTAGAACTTGATAACTTTAACATTTTCCTTCACACCGCGTTTGTTTATTCCCCGCAAACCGAGTTCTCTGCAAAAACTGCACCATGGATATCTTTCTTGATTTGTCCTCCATTTTAGCCGTTCAAATTGTTGCTTGTGTCCCGTATCTGTTGCTGCTTGGGTCTCGACTGAACTATGCGCCGATGTATAATAATACACATGATTTTATATGTTTCAAAATGTGCAAAATAATGTAAATAAATGTGCATACTTCTATGACCTTTATGATAGTATCTTGTTTCACATTTTTTCTGCTTACACATCTTACTGTCAACCACAAATCGATGCGACAGCACTTAAATGCTACATTCTGACGCATAAGAGAGAGAGAGATCTTACATGAATATTTCACTTATGTGCTACATTGTGACGCATAAGAGAAAGATCTTACATGAATACTTTTGGACTGCACTTTTGATATAAATATTGGAATACACCGTTTCGGTAATTGTTTTTATGATTTTTGGTAGCCGTTCTCGTTTTATTACCGTTTCATTACCGTTTTTTACCGTTCTTTACCGTTTCATTACCGTTTTTACCGTTTCTTTTCCGTTTTTACCGTTCTTTCCTGTTTCTTTTCCGTTTTTTTACCGTTTCTTTACTGTTTCTTTACCGTTTCATTACCGTTTTTACCGTTCTTTACCCGTTTCTTACCGTTTTTGACCGTTTCATTACCGTTTCTTTACCGTTTTTACCGTTTCTTTACCGTTTTTTTTTTTTTTTACTGTTTCATTGCCAATCTTTACCGTTTTTTAACGTTTCTTTACCATTTGATTACCGTTTTTTTACCGTTTTTTACCGTTTCTTTACCGTTTTATTACCGTTTTTTACCGTTTTATTACCGGTTCATTCCCGTTTTCACCGTTTTTTTACCGTTTCTTTATCGTTTCTTTACCGTTCTATATTACCGTTTCTTTACCGTTTCATTGCCGTTCTTTACCGTTTCTTTACCGTTTTTTAACGATTATATAATATATTATCCATGATGTATAACATGCAAAATCTTGTCGCGGGGACACAGTGTACGTGCACATTAGTAATAAGAATATCATGTGTCACATTCTTTTTCTTGCGCATCTAATTGTCGAATGCATACGTTTGCAGAATATTAGAGTTTGCAGCTGTGACTAAAAAAATCACGTTGCGAAATGCGTGGGCGGCGCGGGCGGCGCGGACGGCGCGAATGGCGCAGGCGGCGCGGGCGGCGTAAAACCGCCGCAAAATCCGCCGCGAAAAACGGCCGCAAAAACCGCCGCGAAAACCGCCGCAGATCGGTAAAATGATCTATCGAAAGCAGATAGAAAAAATTATATAATATCGGTAATAAATTACCGATCATTGGTATTATGTAAATATGTTGGTAAAAATTATGTAAGTATATGTTAGTAAAAAATTAAATATTGGTAAAAAAATTAAATGTTGGTATATAATATCGGTAATAAATTACCGATCATTGGTATTATGTAAATATGTTGGTAAAAATTATGTAAGTATATGTTAGTAAAAAATTAAATATTGGTAAAAAAATTAAATGTTGGTATATAATATCGGTAATAAATTACCGATCATTGGTATTATGTAAATATGTTGGTAAAAATTATGTAAGTATATGTTAGTAAAAAATTAAATATTGGTAAAAAAATTAAATGTTGGTATATAATATCGGTAATAAATTACCGATCGTCGGTACTATCGGTATTGTGTAATTATATGTTGGTAAAAATTATGTAATTAAATGTTATATAATATCAGTAAAAATTATCGACCGCCGGTAACATTGGTATGCCCCCCCCCCAATTACCGACCGATGATAACCCCCCTCCGCGGTGACGTCATACCCTCCCCCGGTGATGCAATCCCCCCTCTGACGTCATACCCCCCCCGACGTCATATCCCCTCTCTGACGTCATACCCCCCCGACGTCATACCCCCCCCCGCGGTACCCCACGCCCCTCACCCCCCTCAGAGGACCATGGGTTAGAACCCGCCTACCCTACCTACTGAGGGTTGACATACCGAACGAGAAATGTCATCTATTTATCATTTGTAATATCGGAAGTTTCATCGATAAATATTGAAAATTTGTTATTTTGTAAAGTATTTATTAATCGTTCCTGTTCGCGAGTACATAAGACATTATTTATTATTCGCGGCGCCTTTTTTCGATTCATCGTCATACTTTGCAAAACACTGGGATCTTTCCCGATATCTTGAAACAAAGCTAAAATTGCCTCTGCCGATTGAAACGGAATGTTCTTTTCGGCAATTAATGCTGCAAATTTAATTTCCGCGAT